TGCACGCACACACACGCACGCACGCACACAGAGACAGCGTTACTACGCGTGCTCTAGAAAGCCTGCTATCCTCCTCCAAACACACAAACACACGCACACGCACACGCACACGCACACGCACAAGCACACGCACACGCACAAGCACACGCACACGCCCACGCACACACACGCACGCACGCACGCACGCACGCACACAGCACGATATTCGACGCGTCATGCATGACTTCTGTTCCAATGATGGTATTTGCTGACGGTGGTAATCCACTGAGAGGGAAGGGCGTTTCACCTGCGTTTTCGATTAAATGCGAGGAGAATTGAACCAAAATAAACTCCCAACAAGTGAGTGACCGCACGATTCTAACCATCTCGCCCATCCGTTGGAAACGCGCCGCGAAATAACCGGTGTACAATTTCAGGCGCGATTTACGAGGCGATACACTGCCTCGGAAATCCTACGTGTCCAACATGCCAGTTATTTGCCTAGCAGGTGGTTGGTTATGCATATATGTTTTTTGTGCCGAGCTGCATTAATGAAATAACCAAATATTGATTTCTGATTGATTTTACAGTCAGTTAATCAACACACAGCTATCTGAATCTTACAAATAGTGAGGTAGACTGCCTGCAATAGGCTTGCAGGAAAGTGTCTGCACACAGTTGAGGTAGAGTTAGGGAAGCAAGTACATGCATTGGCTAGAGATAGATAGGGGTACATCATCTGTGGATTCGCTGCATTGATAGGTTTTTGATTTATAGGTTGTTTCTTACTTTGATGTATAATCGCGTGGACCTTCACTCCACCACGCGATTATACATCAAAGCAAGAGATCAAAGTAAGAAACAACCTGGTGGAGAATGCAGAGTACACTCGCACTATCTAGAGCCGATGCTACTCTAAATAGTAAATATATCTATATGATTACAATTTAAATATGACTGCAAATGTTTCTCGTGCAAACGCTTGCATTCGACAAATGGACAAATTTATCAAAATCGTGATCAGTTGAGTCGTAGCGGGCCAACGCCAACACGATTATTTTGCCAGCTAGGGTCTTTTTTCATCGTATCACGCAATGAGCTGTAAAGATTTTGCAGTGGGTTCTTTCCTACTCTCTAAATAGCCCTTTTTCAGAGTGAATGGCTTCACGGTCGATACACAAATCGATCCGTTTGAGCATTAACGATACATGTATCTTTACTGTACTGATTAAAATATCCAGATTTAATCGAATTTAGTAGCACAATTTCATCCAAAAACAAAAGAGAAAACATGATTCGCAATTCCATAGCAGTTGTTCACAAAGAGCTACACTGATTTTTGATCGTTCACATGATTGGTAGATTCCAAGTTAGCATATACACTATACACTATATGTACTTTGCTAGGTCTTGAAAGTATCGCGATACGTATCGTATCGTTAAGGCTGTATCGTGATCTGGATCGTATCATGAGCTACTCGCATCTAGCCCAATCCTAGTTTAGCACCCGGATTAGTTTAACATATATGTGAACTATATATACCGGGATCCCAAACTAGGACTGAGCATTCGCATCTTCCCACCCCTACTTCGCACACGCCGCGCGTGCGTCGTCACCATGGCAACCTCACCTTCGCGCCCACTTGCTGGAGTTCTGTGCGAACGGCCGCTTCCACAGAACACCGTACTTCTGCACCTTGGCGGAGAAGTCGAAGCCGGCGTCCGACGTGCCGCTGTAGTTCGAGATACTGCGCTCCCTGGTGAGCGACATGGCGTCCGTCGCCCTCGCGCACAGTCGCTAAAACACGTCACGTCGCCCCCCGAAAGACGACAAGCGAACAGCCTAGCGAGGACGTACGCGTCTGCCGAATCCTCTGATTACGCTATCCGGGTCTTTGGGTAGAAAAGGGTGGGTGCGAACCACGTGCGATCGTCAAATAGGCCTACGCGGCTGCTGTCCTAGCTACATTTATCCGAACGTTGATGATGGTGGTGTCGCAGACGTGTACTGTGTAGATCTAAATGCAAAGATTCTTGTACGTCCTTGTGCTGGTCACAGTAGCACCAAGGTCTCTAAGAAAGTCACTAAATGTAACACTGGTCGTGTCTCAAATCACGTAGCAGGTGCGCAGGATTTCTAACGGCAGACGCTTACGTACGTAACGTTACGTAGGCAGTTAGAGACTAGTAGTACTAGTAGTAGTAGTAGTAGTAGTAGTAGTAGTAGCCTACACTGACTACAACTTCACCGACGCTAGCGGTTATGTAACATCAACACTGATTATCAAACAGCGGCTGCATTGCCCTGTCCTTCTCGATGCGTTATCTATAATAGACGCGGGTTAAACGTTCAAATAATTTAGAGCGCTGATCGCCGATGGAGTTCCTTTCATGTGGTTGTTTACGTTTCTGCTTTCTGCCTCAACGTTCCGGTAGGCGGTGTCATTGTACACAACGCGCCCCGTATAATTCACTGCGTAAAGCCTGTTTGGTGATTCTTCCGCGTCTTAGATGGAGACCCACCCACCCACTTTATGTCATTGGATAGCCCTTTGGTATTGGCTCCTTGTACTTTACAAAAAGATTTCCTGTGTGTTACAATAATGTAACTTCGCGGTGAACATTACAAGCGGTTTTTACCTACTCAACGTGGACGTTTTGCCGTTGGACATGTACTGCCCTCTACTGAGAAATATTAAGAAAAATGTCCGTAGCGCAGATTGCAAAACAGCCGCGTAGAAACTGATTGTTACGGTTGATTACGATTGTTACGGTTACGGTTACATTGATATTGTGAATCATTATAATCTATTCTCAATAAAAGAATTCTATGTTCACATTAGTTAGTAGTTGCCTTTAGTAACATTAGTTACTAACATTAGTTAGTAACATTAGTAGTTAGTAACATTAGTTGTTAGTTGAAAAAAGGTGCCAGCTAATTTTCTGTTCAGTTCTTTCAGTTCTTTTAATAAAGACCATTTGCATTTTAAACTCTAGTTTTTAATTAACTAGACGGCCAGTTAGTTGATAAATTTTAACGAAGTGTTGAAAAGTGCAAGTGCAGATTACAGGTGTTATAGTTATATTTAGATATTATGGGATAATGGCGCTCCCACGTCGGTCGCCGTTGACTGCCAAGATTATATTCTTCGGCCGTTCTTATACGTTTAAACTTGAGCCGTGCTGGCTGACAACACATGGGCATGGTAAAATCTGATCTACATGCTTCACTTCGCTCGCAGCATCGCCCCACGATTTCCAGCTATGCTAATGTATGGGCAAATGGCGCTGCAACGTCGGCCACCGTTGACTGACAAGATAATATTCTTCGGCCGTTCTTACACGTTCAAACTGGGGCCGGGCAGACTGAGAGCACATGTGCATGGTAAAATCTGATCTACATGCTTCACTTCGCTCGCAGCATCGCCCCACGATTTCCAGCTATGCTAATGCATGGGCAAATGGCGCTGCGACGTCGGTCGCCGTTGACTGCCAAGATAATATTCTTCGGCCGTTCTTCGGCCTTACGTTCAAACTGGAGCCAGGCAGGCTGACAGCACGTGTGCTTGGTAAAATCTGATGTCAACGGCGACCGACGTCCGAGGCCCAATTCCCTGTATATTAATATAGGCATCATGCACAATTCATGGCGCGATGCTGCGAGAAAAGTGTGTGTGCGTTTTTTGATTTGATATATATATATATATACATATATATCACAATTAAATGACAATATATATATATATATATGTGCGCGCGCGCGCGCGCGTGTGTGTGTGTGTGTGTGTGTGTGTGTGTGTGTGTGTGTGTGTGTGTGTGTGTGTGTGTGTGTGTGTGTGTGTGTGTGTGTGTGTGTAGTGTGTGTGTGTCGTATACGTATACGTGATATGTAGTAGTAGTAGTACGGTAACGGTAACGTTAGTTACTACCTTACCGTTACCGTTACCGTACGGTAGGTTAGGTTAAGGGAAGG